CGCTATTCAGGAAGTGTTCTGTTAGGTTTTGCTTTGTTTCCAGGTTCGAAGGCTGACCTTATGAATCAAGGTCATTATTTTCATTTTTCAAAGTTTCAAAATCACACTGAGAGTTTGGAGCGAGGGGTTTGTTGGTAAACGCCAACTGTATTCCTGGTCAAGATGTTGCTAAAGGTGATACACGCGAATGGTGAGGTTTGTGCCTCCACCTGGATAAGACGTTCTTAAGCTGTTGAAGAGCCTAATTTAGTCCGCTACTTATTCTTTTTATGCGTGCTACATTACCTTGTGTTCAATACCCGACATAGGTTACCTAAAGCATGAGAAGCTTTGGAAACCGCTTGTTCGCTGACTTATGTCATGAATGTCGCCCCATTTGAAATCTTTTGAATTGTTGTGAATAGTGAAAACAATCAGAAGTCTCTAGGAAGTTAATCGAGGCTCACCTGGGTTAGCATGTCCCGCAGGAAGGATTCTGCACTGTGGGCACCATCTCTTCAGTGATTTGATTTCAGTAAGTGGAATCATTGGGTTCTCAATGACTTCAATAATGAGACTGCCTTCGGGATAGATTGTATTGGATGGAATAAGCAGGTTTTGGAATCTGCTGTTGCTGGTGACATTGATGGCTGGTACTCCTGAAAAGGAAAATCTGTGTGAATCTGCGAACCGAACGAAGTTTGTGGGCGACCTACCGGGCATGCACGGTTTGAGTTCACGCAGATATGGGCAGCGTAATTGTAAGAATTGCGAAGTGAGAAATGGTGATGCAAATTTCCATGTAGACAGCTTCTTGAGCACAGTGCGTTCAGCTGCATTTCGGTCACGGAATCGCTGTTAAGTATCAAAATGTATCCTTGCGCTGGCTTTATGATCTCCTTTCCTGCGCACGCATCAACAAGTTCATTGGTGGAGTAGTCCCGCTTCTGAAGGCCACAACCTGCAAAAATTTAGCTGTCAGTGACAAAGGCGTTGAAGTTTGGTAGTTTACATGGAGTTCAGTTCAAAGTCAACAACAGCGAAAAAATTCATAGACGGATGGAGGATGAAACGCTCGGCTTTTCTGAAATCTAGATTTATTTGAATGGACCCGTCTGTCAATGGTTTTATTTATCAGCGACCTTCCATTATATAGTAGCACTGCAATCCACTAAATATCCCCGCTAAAAATTACACTACGGCAACCTGCGCTTTATGGCACAGTAAAATGCTTATTAGGGATTTCTAATGGTGTACGGGCTACTCAGTTCTTCACAAAACGTCTGTGTGCTGCCTTCGTCGTGTGGCTCACCCCTCACATCGTAGTTCCCTTCTTCCCCCGTGGTTCTTGTGCTGGTAGCGTTCGAAGCTGAAACTGCGGTCGTCGTCTACCTGTCTGCCCTCTGCCTTCCGCGGCAGAGAAGATGGAGGAAAGCCCAATTAGACACGTAACTCTTTTCAATGTGTGGGTTTTGGAGGTGCCACCTCAAGAATGATTGAGGACTATAGTGCAATGAAGGGATTAGACTAAAGTGATAAGAAGATGTGAATAGTTACCTAGATTTGCAGTGATTATGCAACCTGGGGCAAAGTATCTTGAGTTTTTCGATGATTGTAATTGAAAGTCGTGATTGTTGCTGATTTCAAGGATCTTATCTCCTTTCGGGTAGATAAATTGCCAAGGAATAATAAGCGTCTCCAGTAGGAAGTTGTCGACAATTCGTATAGCTGTTCTCCTGAAAAAAAAAGTGTTTGAAGAAACGTTTGACTAGTTATCTACTTAAAACCGACCTGGTAGGCAAGGTCTCAGTTCCTTCAAGATAGGGGCAGCGTAAAGCCCTGTATTGCGAGTTGTGATGTCGATACAGATTTCCATGAATACGGCTTGCGAACAAGAGTGCATTCATCTCTTGTTCAGTGGTTGATGATGAGCTGAGCTTTCAGTATGTACCCCTGAGCTGGACGAATGATCTTCTTTCCTGCACAAGCAGCGACCAGTTCCTTATTACTGTATGTTCGCTTCTGCAGATCACATCCTGAAAACCAGAATGGAGTATGGCGTTTTCATCGTGTTTTCTTTAGGCTTTCGTTTGACTGACCGAGATTGGCCGTCACCAGGCAGCGTTCACACTTCTTCTTGAGCCATGTGATGATCGTTATGTCCAGGACGGGGTTTTCCGTAATTTCGTAGATCAGCTCGTGTTGAGGGTAGATCACTGTGACAGGAATGAGGAACTCTCTGAACTTCAAGTTGTTCTTAATCTGGATAGCTGGTCGTCCTGAACGAAGTCGTTTTCAGATGATGGTCTTCATGAAAAGGATCATTTGTAAGAAGTTGTACCTGGGAGACATGGCCGAAGTTCTCGTAGACGAGGGCAGCGTAGTCTCGTGTATTCTGAGGCGACTATCGATATGCAGATCTCCATATAAACGGCGTTCGAGCACAAATCGTTCATCTGCTTCTCAGTTACTTCCGAGGATCTTACGTATACAGGGAAACCTTTGTGCGGCTGGATGTGCTCTTTACCGGCACAGGTGCTAACCAACTCCGTACCATTGTATCCACGTTCTTCCAATACACATTTCTTTAAACCTAAAGGAGTAATGTCGAGATGTTCATCAAATGTAGCACACCACGTAGCACAATCGCGGCTTTTCCTACCTTGTGGACGATCTGGAAGAATGATACACTGTTTGCACCAATTTTTGAGTGATTTGATTTCAGTAAGTGGAATCATTGGGTTCTCAATGACTTCAATAATGAGACTGCCCTCGGGATAGATTGTACTGGGTGGAATGAGCAAATTCTGGAATCTGCTATTGCTGGTGACATTGATGGCTGGTTGTCCTGAACAGGAAAATCTTTTCTGCGAAGGAGTGAAGTTTGTGGGCGACCTACCGGGGAGGCACGGTCTGAGTTCACGCAGATATGGGCAGCGTAGTTGTGTGTATTGCGAATGATAAATGGTGATGCAAATTTCCATGTAGACAGCTTTTGAGCACAGTGCGTTCAGCTGCGCTTCGGTCACGGAATGGCTGTGTAGTGTCAAAATGTATCCTTGCGCTGGCTTTATGATCGACTTTCCTGCGCACGCGTCAACAAGTTCATTGTCGGAATAGGTTCGCTTCTGGAGACCGCAACCTGTAATTAATAGATTGTTATGTTGACTATATTGACATTGAAATTTTGGTCATTGGTTTGTCAGTTATCAGCCACATTCTGT